TTAGGGACTCAAGTATTTATCATGGAGATGGAGCCTTTTTCTTAGGGCTTGTCTAAACACACAAGTGACACCAATTTAGCTGAAATTGGTTTTAGAACCTGATTTCAATGGGAGTTCAGCGCCCAACCTACTTAGGTGCTTTTGAAAATGCTGCTTATCTGCATCTTTACAGGCCTAAATACCTTTGAAAATCTGCTCCCAGACCTTGTCATGAACAAGTGAGTGTTGTGATTTCGTTTGTGTTTATCGAATGTATGGTCTTCACTTGCACTTCTTGTAATCCTGTGTGCACACACAGGAGCGTGTTTAGTAAATGTGGCATGTAGACCATTTAATACAGGAAAGTGTTCTGTGCTTAACTGGGACATCTCTCGGGAAATTGATTTACTCTAATGCTAGTGAATGGCAATGACTACTGTTTTATCAGGACAGTGTTGGCAAACAATTTGCTTCATGGGGATGTGTATTTTGGCAGTATTAAGCAATGTTAAACTGGGAAATTGTAAACTCCAGTGTTAATAGAGAAGCTGCCAAAGTGAAGTTAAAAGGAGAAATGCCGTGAATGACTTTTGTTCCTGTATTTATTCATAATTCTATTATTTCATCAAATCTTCTCAGAGATGTTAAAAACTCTCTCATTGGAATTCTAGACCTGTCTACTGAGATCCCAAGTGCGGGGGGTTTTACTGTAAGCTTGTCTCTGACAAGTTGAGGGGATGAACATTCAGCTAGGTGAACCTATGGATTCTTCGTATTTGTCATATTTCTAAAGTGCTACTGCAACACTGAATGTTCTACAACTATCCTAAGTTGCTACACCACCTATTTGTGCTCATGGAAATCAGGAGACTACTAAGGCCTTCACTTCTAATCTAAGGATAGCTGCATGCCATGGGAGGTAATATGAAAGGTGTCTCTGTCAAAGCAAATGGAGGCTAGACTTCCAGAAGCACCTAGTGATATTTGAGTGCCCAAATAGATATGTTTAAAAGGCCTGATTTTCCAGGAAGCGGCGAGCACCCTCCTTCTGAAAAATCAGGCCTCTTATGTTTTAATTTGGGCAACCAAAAATTGAGGCATCCAAAATAATCAGTCACAACTTTGCTTTTTGGGTGAGAACTCCAATTGAACAAACTTCATAAGCAAATAATTAGTGGCTGATGCTTCTGACTGTATCATTTTTGGAGTCTCATCAGGGATACTCCAGTTTAAGAAATGGGAATACACTTGAATAAGGGTCCAATGATGCTCCATCCCATGCCTGGTGACCTTTAGTAGAATGCCTTCAGTGTTCAAATTCATAATATTTTGAAGTATTGTTTCATTTTAGTATGATTTCTCTCTTCCCTGGCAACATCTAAAGTGATTCTTCAACTACATTTAGAAGTTTGCCTTTATTCAAACCCTCACAGTTTATCAAGAGGAACATATATTCATTAAACCAATGTTTGTTGTTGCAAGATGCCTGTCATAGTAGCTTTCTTGAGCTGCAGATTTTGATCCTGTTTTTGCACTATGCTGTCACTCCTGGCAGGGCAGCGTTAGTGTCAAGCACTGAACGACAAGTCCATTTTCCTTTGTGCACTCCACACAGGTGTTATCAGAGCAGACATGAAAGCTTTCTAGTATTGTGGGATAAAAAGCCTACATATGACTGTTTTAATGGCTATCTTTAGCAGGATTTGGGAGAGCGTGATTACAATCTGTTCAATCTGCATTGCATTCAAAATTCTGTGGCAGACTAACAATTTATGAAGCTGATGATTGGATTGTTGGTGCCTTTTGCTGTGCGGTGAAGACAAATGGCTTGTGGTTGTCTAGCATCCCTAAAGGAGCAAATATGGAAACAATTACTGTACTTTGAAAGATTTTTCTGATGGTTGAATCAATGAATGAAAATGAATTTGGGATGATTTCATAGGGGTTTTTAAAACACATGCCTAAGATGGCCAACCTCCAACTTTACAAGTCTTTCTGTGTTTTGATTTGGGGTGGGGAGAGATGACAGAATAGCTGAAGTAATGGCCACAACAAGAACTTGAAAAGCCACTGCTATAGTATGTGTGCCAGGTTTGGTCCAACATATGGAACATCTATGTAATTATTATTGCAAGTACATCTATTACTCTGCAAAACTCTTGTGTATTGTGCCCAAGAATCATGTATTATAATACACAAAGAGGAAGGCCACATACCTAAAGGTAGGCTTCAACAATGGGAAAACTGATTGAGCTGTACATAAACTTATCCTGCTTCTATACACAGCTTGTGTATCAGTAGCTGGTATGAACTCGCTCTGTACTCTTTTGTGAGGGAGTTAGTAATCTTAAAGTACCCCATAGGTAATAGCCCTTGGCTGCTATTAGATTTTTGGGGACTGATTTTTCTTCTTCACAGGTACTGTGGCTTGGATGAGAACTGCTTCCTTAGAAATCAGGTCTCTGGAGATTCCCATATGTGTCCCTTACCATTAATATGCAGTATAATAACTCTCTAGTATTGTCCATAAATTACAGTCTAGTTCTGCTTGCCTGTAGAGGGTTTTGAATTCATCTAGGCTCATGATATGACAGGCCTGTCTCCCTTTAAAACACTGCATTTCAATTGGCAGAGTTTTCAATCATAATACCACCTCTTAAAGTGGAGTAATGGAAACATGGCAAATTGCTACTCTGTACAGTGTTTTTGTAGGGGGGGGAAGCTTGACTCATATTGTATCTTTAGGTAATATGTTAAATCGCAGAGCATGTATTTTCTAATTGATCCAGTTAAAAAGACAGTCATCTCAATGGGGTTTCTAATTTCTGTGGTTCTGCTCATTATTACTAACTGTTTCTTGCAATGGGTTATTGACAACTGTACTGCATGTCATAGGCTCTGATCCTGCAAATACTTACACCTGTACATAACTTTATGCAGATGTGTCCCAGTGACTTCAATGGGAGCAGTCATGTACCTAAAGTTAAGCATGGGCGTAAGTGTTTGCAGGATCCGTTATATTAAATCAAGTTTTCATGTTGGTACTAACACTTCCTTTACCAGTCATTAACATTACACTTCAAAGGCTGCATTAACGCAATGGTAAGGTAGCACAGTTAAAATCGCTGTCAGGAAATGCAAAAGTTAAGGTTCCAGCAACAAGATAATTAATCTGTGTTTACACATGTGCTTTCTACTCCTCACCTTGCTAAAGGAATGGATTTACAAGACTGTAGGTTCTTTGGTGCAGGGACTGTCTTTACTTATGTCTCTACAGTACATATCACAATAGGGCTCTGACCTGACTGGGTCTCTGCATAATAAAAGATTTACAAAATGAATGGGTCAATTAAAAACTTTAAATGTGAAAAAATCCTCATGAAGGCAATGCTTTCATGGATCCATAGGTTCTAAGGCCAGATGCACCCATTGTGATCCTCTAGTTCAGTGGTTCTCAACCTATTTACCATTGTGGGCTGCATATGCAGCTCTCTGTGTTATCTGGGCTGCATCCACATAATATATATACTACCTGTATGGCCCTGAAGTTGTCACATGGGCTGCAGCTGTGTGCTGATTGGGCTGCAAGCAGCCCTCAGGCTGCAGGTTGGGAACCAATGATCAAGTCTGACCACCTATGTAATACGAGCCATAGAATTAACCCAAAATAATTCTTAGAGCATGTCTTTCAGAAAAACATCCAATCCAGATTTTAAAATTTGGCAGTGATAGAGAATCCACCTTGACCCTTGGTAAGTTGTTTCAATAGTTAACTTTTTAACCGTGATAATAATTATGCTTTATTTATGGTCTGAATTTGTCTAGCTTTCACTTCCAGCCATTGGATCATGTTAGCCCTTTCTCTAAGGTTGCACAGCTGTAGAATCTGTGGGAAAAGATAAGCTATGTTAAAGGTATGTCATAAAGCAACCAGGAAACCCTTGTGTGGTAAAAGAATAGTCTTTCTATTCTAAATTGGTTCTTATACTATGACCATCACCATAGTTTGCCTTAAAGAAGTTACTGTCTCATAAATTAATGGGTCTACTTTTCTTCCTTACCCAGTGTGTTTTTCCATGTGCAGCCCTTGCACAGTAAAACACTGTTAAATTGTAACATCTGCAAGGGTAGTAGAGTTCTCAAATGACCTAACTGTATTAACGGTTGGCAATTAGAAGAAACCTAGTAAAGCTCCTTAGTGAGGATGACTTACTGTGGAGACTTGAACATTCCAAATGCAGTCTTTGGATGCTTTTTGAATCAGCCTGGCTCACAAAAGTTGGAAATAGTGGGCTCCCTTTTATCTTAATTCATCAATGATTCCAATGTCCCTTAAATTTTAATAGTCCCACTGCAGGGAGCCTCGAGCATTGATAATTTTAGCTAACAATCTTTTTATTTTAATGTAATAAATAACTCACACAGGAAAAGGTGTGTGTGTGTGTGGGGGGGGGGGGGGGTTTGCGGGAAAGTGGAGTGTAACTAATCCACCTTTATGGTGTGACATTTAACAGGCCTAGCAGAAGTAGGGTGACCAGAGAGCAAGTGTGAAAAATCAGGACCCAGTTTTGGGGGTGGTGGTGGGGGGAGAGGGTATGGTTGCATACAGAATAATATTGGGATGGTTTCAATAATAGTAGAGGCCTGGTCCAAGTTTAAAAAAAAAATTCCTTTGCACATGAGATTTAAATCATCACACCCACACACACACACCCCAGGAAGGGGGAGCTGCAAAGAGCATCCAGTGTGGAACCTGGAGAAACCCACCCCTCGAGGCCGCTGCTTGTGACCTGGGGGCGGGTAGGGGGATGCCTCTCTCCTGGAGGGCGGGGGGAGAGGGTGGCTGCTGGGTGGGTGTTTAACGCGCGGGTGGGGGCAGCCGCAGCCCAGGCCCTGCAGGCGGGGGGGCGGGAGGGAGGGAGGGCTGGCGGCGGAAGGGCCGAGCGCGGGGCGCTGATTGGCTGAGCGCTGTGGGCTGGGCTGGGCTGCACGAGCGCTCCCCGGGGCCGGCCCAGCTCAGTAATGCAGCAGCGGCAGCAGCCCCGGCCGACACGCGCACGCGGAGAGCGCTCGTGGCTGCGGGGCGCCCGGCGAGCCTCTGTCTCTGCACAGCCGGCGCGCCAGGGAGCCGCCGCCCGGAGCGCAGGATGAGCACCGGCCTGAGGTACAAGAGCAAGCTGGTCAACCCAGGTGAGCGGGGCCCCGGGGGGCGCGGGGTGGGGGGCGCCGGGGCTGGGCTCAGCCTCCCTCGCTCACCCCGTCTCTTCTCGCTTTCTCCCCCGCCGCCGCCGCCGCCGCCGGGTTCCCCGCCGGGGTGCGAACACGGATCGCCCTGCAGAAGAAAAACAGGTAGGTGGGGCTTGCGCCTCCCCCCGCCCCGGAGCTGGCAGGGGCGACCCCGGCCGCGTTGCTGCTGCCCTGTGGTGTGGATGGGGGGCGATCTGCCGTGGGGTCCCCTCTGGCCGCCCATGCGGGGGGCGGGGGCGCTCCCTGGGCAGCCGGGGCTCGCTCGGCGGGGTTCTCCTTTGGAGGCATCCCGTGCAATAGCCCGTTAGCCCCGTGGGCCGGTACCCCTGGGCGTGCGGGGCGGGGAGCTCGGGATCGAAGCAGACATTGCAGTAGTCGGAGCACGGCCCCCTGTCAAACCCCTTCTCCCCTCCCCTCCCTCTGCACAATCCCTCCTCTCTCCCCCCGCTTGTTATTCCGGTTGAGCCTCGCCTCAAGCCGCAGAAATGGGCACGCTGGGGACACCGGCTTTCGCTCTCTGGAGACGTGCGGGGATCGGGAGGGTGATGTAATCAGGTGACATCAGCAGGTTTTGGGGTTCTCGATGGGGTCTTTGGGAGGATTCAGGGTGGTTTTACAGGAAGAGGCATTTCCTCTCCACTAAGCTTGAATTCTTGGGTAGGGAGCGAGCAGCAGGGTCCTCCTGTGTGTGCTCGAACACCCACCATCATGGACAACCTCTGACGGGAGATGCAGGCAGGGCCTGCCTGCCTGCAGCTGGGCGGCGTGGATGGAGCTGTACTGTATTCCGTGAGGACCGGGGTAGGCAGTAGGAGGAGACAGTTAACACATGGGGATGCTACTACAGATTCTGTCAGCAGTAGTGCCCCTATCCCACCCCTTCATCCTCCTGCCAATTGCATTTTGGATGTTCCCTCCTGATTAGTCCTTCCTGTCCCAACAGGATTCTAATTCACTAGTCAGACCCGTACACCCTATAGCTTTCCGCCTGTTGTGGGATCCTGTAACACTGTACAGCCTTGTGCTCCATAACAGTGCAACTTGTTTCACGGCAACCCAGTGGTTACCTAGTCATTGCAAAAAAAAACAATTAATTTTTATGCAGCCCAGTCAAGCACTGTTAAAAAGCTCTCGTGCATTTCTTGTAGCTGATGATAGTTTGAAACGGTGGGAGGGAAATAAAATAAATCCAGTGATAGTGTGGTGATTGACGCTTAGTAAATGGTTTTTTTCCAAACCTGAAGTGTATCACCAACATTTTCCCCTTCAGAGTTATTTTGAGGCTTGTTCTCCCAAACCCTCCCCTCCCCCCTCAAATCTGGAAACATACAAGTTCTGCAATTGTAGTAAAGCCAGATCAAGCTGTAAATCGGAAAGAGAATTGTGAATCTTAGCTTGGAGAAATCAATTATAAAAATGTGTGTAGTTTTTTTTTTTTTATAACCCTCTTGTCTGCTCACTCCTGGTGAAAGAAGGAAGGCAATGATGATGATTATTAATTTGTATGATTGTAATGTGTAGACGCCCCTATCATGCTGCATAAAAATAGTGAGATATAGTCCATGCTCCAGAGAGCTTACAGTCTAAATAGGTAAGACAGACAAAGGGTGGGAAGGCAAGTAGGTATGGGGAAGTGAAGTGACTTGCCCAGTGTTACACAGGAGGTGAGTAGCATTAGAACACAGGTTCCCTGACTCCAAGGCTAGTGTTCTATCTACTAGACCCCATCTTACATTTCAACATGTCACTCTGCAGCAGAGTGTGGTTTTCCACTGTTGAAAAGCTGACCTGGCCTCATAAATACTCAGATACTTGCATATATGTCCCTGTGTTTATATGGAGAATATAGCATGGGCCTTGCATGGAAGAGCACACTTAATTATGAGTTTGTGCCAGCCGAATTACTCATGAGTGGTGGAGTGAAACCAAGCTGTGAAAACAAAGCAATCTGCTGAAATGAGGGTAAACATCTAAATATGTATCAGTCAGTTAATATCCTTATTTAACCAGGTTAAATCCTTCCAGAACAGGTTTTCATTTACAGTGCTGACCTGTTTAAGACAGGATCACAAATGCCGGCAGATAACAAAAAATGTACCCAGGCTGTACTTTTATGCCACTATACCAGCTCCTCAAATTTAATACAAAAGCCAATTATATAAATACCCTCATAGAATAATAGTCTTCAGAGAAGGCAATAAGAAATGACATTACAAGTATGGTATCATTCAATAAAAATCTTGCACAAAATGTTATCTTAATGCCAGTGTCCGGCGCATTGTATAACTGATCTAATATGTCTGAGAAATCAAACAGAATGGTTTAAGAGAATATCATACTATATTTGGTTTAGACCCGTGCTACCTTAGGACAGTGGTCAGGGAAGTAGTTTGTGTTTGTACATTGCCTAGCACAGTGGGACCTGGCTCCATGAATGGAGTCCCTAGGTGCTACCATAATACTGCTAATAAATCGCAATAGACTTCCTTTCTTGGAGAGGATATGAGTGCTTTCCAAGGAACCTCCTGTTAATTGCGAAGTTTGGGCCTGAGCCTGTGCCACTGAAGCCGTTCCCTTCAGTGGGCACGGGGTCAAGTCGTTTGAGAGGAAGGGTGGTGGGTTAAGGCAGTGGACTGGGACTCAGGAGATCAGAGTTCCATTTCCAGCCTTGATTTAAGTCATTTAATCTCCCTCATTTTGCCAGCTGTGAAATGGAGATGCCACTACTTTCTTGAGGAGGGTGTCCTGAAGGTAAATCCATAAGTACTTGGGGGGGCAGTCTTGGATGATGAGCTATACTGTAAGTATCTAGATAGAAGGTATTGCCTTCTCACTGTGAGGGAGATCAGGTAGAGGTGGTGACATGGCTAATGAGACACAAGCCCTTGTGCAGAAGGGAAGGTCTCTGGTGTAAACATTCCTACAGGAGAAATGAAGCAATTTGTATAAAGAATGTGTTGAGCAGTGAGCCAAGAAGGGCAAGTGCAGCTGATGGAGACTCTGCCAAAGCCTGAGGGCTCACTGTGGGTGGAATGCAGGTGAAACTGAGCACCTGGCTGAGTGGAGTGGATTGGCAGGCTCCCTCTGAACCTGCCTCTCTGCTCGTGAAGTCCCTGTGACTTTGTTTGGGGTGGTTCCCTGTGTCCCTGGAGGTTGGCTTTTGATGACTCAAGGTTGTTGTGTAGCCCAGTGCTCTTTGAAGTGGTGGTTTAAAAGTCTATTAATGTGGGCAATATCCTTTTTAAACTGGGAGGGTGAGAACCAGTTCTTACAGTTTCTCTCTCACCCACATGAAATCGCTGAGCTGTTTGGGAGTGGAAGTATGGATTAGCTGGTGGATCCAGTTCTCTTCATGTGTTTGAAAGTACAGTTTGTGCCTTCACATCCAGCTCTGTCCCTTTCCTTCCACGGCCACAATCAAAGGGTGACTCTTGGAAATGGGTCTGTACTGATCATTAAAAGTATATATTTGGTCAAGTGTGTATGAGGGATGCTGTACAAAAGACAGCATGTGTGTGTGTGTGTGTGTGTGTGTGGAGGTATGTGTGTAAAGGTGTGGTTTGAACATAAGTCTGGGCATCAGGAATTGTTTGAATTCAGTGTAATGAATCAGTTCTCCCCAAAATAATAATTGGCCTGAAAATCATGAGATTTGAAAAAGGTTGTGCATTGTTGGGTTGGGTTTTCATTTACTTTCTGGTTCTTGAACCTTTAGGTTTCACGTTTTCAAGCTATTATCTGAAATCAGGATGGCTGGAAACTTAAATGGAAATAAGGTGTAAGGAAAACCCTCAGATATCAGGAGTGTATGTGACATTGTCACTGATTCCCTCACAATCTGGGGCAAATCAGTGTCCCTGTCTGTAAAATGGGGATAAAACTATTCACTTCACTATGGTATTGTGAAGATAGATTAGCTGATGTTTGTGAAAAGGGCAGTATAAATGCTAAGGCCTCCGATCCTGCAAGCAGCTTCTCGTGCCTGTGCAGAGTCCTGTTGAAACCCATGCCCAAACAGCTTGCAGGACTGGGACCTGTCCATGTGCATCTTTTAGTGTTGCCAACTCTCATGATAATTTGGTGTTTTTCTGAGAGCTCCAGCTCCTGGAAGTCACATGATTTTGTGAGACTCTGAGCTTTCATTAACAAAAAAAAGAGGTTTTAGCCCTAATGTTAGTAGAGGAAAGCTTCAAAATGTGGCCTGAGTCCAGGTGCAGAAACCGCAAGACAGGTAAACAGAACCCTACATCGCTTTGGCTTAAAAAATCAGGAGAGATTTAAAAAAAATAATCTCATGATTATGTAGGGCCTCACTCATAATTTCTTGAACGGTTGGCAGTACTGGATTGTATTCAGATGCACAGTGTGTTACAGTTTGTCATTTCAAATATGTTAGAAGACTTTAAATTTTTTTTTTTTTTTTTTTGCTGAAGACGGAGTTTTATTTGCAGTTTGGTAAATGGTTTTTTTTTTTTTTTGGGCCAGAGTTGTATAGTTTTTCATCGGTGTGTGGGTTAGTTTGTCCCTGATACACAGCTGCTTAACTTAGACACCGAATCCATTGACATCTGTTCCAACCTATTAATTCTCACACTTGGCTCCACATCCTTGGCTTCCAAGAACAAGCTGCTGGAATGGGAGCAGTGGGTTGATCACAGAATCCTGAGGTAAACACTGGAAATGGTCTGAAAGCAGCACCTCTTTGCTTGTTGGCTTTCTGTTGTCTGTGTAGCTTGGCCGGAGGAAGCAGAGGGGTGGAAGATTTGCACCTCACGTCTCTGTCAGCTGTGGTGTGTATGCTGCTGATTTTCTTTGGTTCAGCTAAAAAGGCAACTTGCTGTGTAGCCTCCCAAAGCAGACAACAGTTCAGTGCTAAGCACGGCTGTGTCAGGGGGTGGGGGTGGGGGCTACAGTGTGTCAAGAGGTTCAGCCCTTGACTGGATTGCCTTCTGTCATGCATCTGTCCATATCGTTTTGTTGCAGGGGCCCCCTGCCATGCACAGATGGTCTATTCTGGGCAGGGAAAGCCTGGCCCATGCAAGACTTACCGTAGTGGCATCTGACGTTTCCTTGCGTGACTTCTGAAGAAGGGGTAGCAAAAT